AGCAGCACAGCCTAGGGAGACTGGAGACCCAGAAGATGTCTAGACCAAGACTACAGGAGTCACAGTAGGAAGTAGCCCAGGGAAGGACTAGCCATTGTCCCTACAGCAGTCAGCATGTATCAAGCAGATCCCCACTGATGAACATCATCCGTGTTTGTGGGGAGGAAGCTGTCCAGTCCCAGCTTCACTCCAGCCGTAGGAATTACGATACCTTTGGGCAGATATCAAGGGACATGATGGAAAGGGGCCATGACCAGGACGCTCTGCAGTGTAGGGTTAAAGTGAAGGAGCTGCGGAATGCCTACCACAAAGCCTGCAAGGCAAACAGCCGCTCCGGTGCTGGTCCTGCAACCTGCCATGTCTACAAAGAGCTGCACATGATACTTGGGGGCGACCCCACCTCCACTCCGAGTACCACCATGGACACCTCAGAGCACAGTCCAACAAGGCAGGAGGAGGAGGAGGAGCAAAGCAGGAGCGAGGGTGCACAGGAGGAGGAAGACACCCCGGCATCCCTAGATGCTTGCAGCCAGGAGCTGTTCTGAAGCCAGGAGGAAGGTAGCCAGGAGCGGTAGACGGTGCTTGGGGAAGGACAAACACCGGAGGAGGTTCCCGGTAAGCGGCTTTTATTTTGGGAAGGAAGTTATTCAGTGCAGGCTCTTGGGGCAAGGAGGGTTAGGACTGCATGCATGCCTAGATGCGGAATACGGCATTGATGTGCTCTCTCACATCGTGGTAATCGGCTTCAGTGATCTCTTCAAAGGTCTCATCCAGAACTTGGGCAATGCACTTAAGCAGGTTTCATGGGAGAGTCACTGTGGTCCTTGTCCCAGTCAGGCTAACATGTCTGCGTCACTGTGCCATGAGGGGCGGGAGGGCCATTGCTGCACACAGGCAAGCTGCTTATGGGCCAGGGCAGAAGCTGGATTGTAGTAGAAGACCCTCCCTTGCTTCCCAAGTCACCCTCAGCAACGAGATATCTTTTAGGACGAACTCCTGTGGAAAATGTGAGGACAGTGTTCAGCATAGGTGCCCCCTGCAGCTGTTGGCTCTCCCCAAGACACAGAAACCCAGAGGACAGTACAGCCATGAAAGAATCAGTCTCCCTTGAGTAGAAGCAAAGAGGACATGCTGCATGAAGTCATGCAGCACTCCCTTAATGAAAATCAAAAAGTGCAGGAGCAGCGGGAGAGTGAAAGGAGGGTTCTCCAGCAGAATGCGGATCACCGGCACCAAAGCACAGAGCAGCTGATAAGCATCATGGAGCACCAAGAAGACTCAATCCAGGTGCTTGTAGCCATGCAGGTGGAGCACTTCTGCGCCCAACCCCACGGCAGCCCTTGTCCCAAAACTCTTTCCCTTGTGCCCCCATATCACCTCCAACCCACTTTCCCCAACATCCGAGTTCATATTTGCAATCAGCTGCCTCTAACACCTGTAGCTTCACCACCTAGCCCTGAAAACTAGGACCCTAGTGCACTCAACCCCCAGCACCATGCAGTAGAGCCATCCTGAAGTGCAGCACTCATTGCACAGCACTCCAGACAGGAAGGCTGAGTATGATAACAGGACATACGCAAACCTGTGATTGAACCATTCACCACCCCACCCCTTTGCCCTTTGTGTTTCCCAAGCAGTTGTGTTTCTTTTCAATAAATACATTTTCTTTTCATTAAATGGATTTTTTTGCTTTGAAAACATTCTTTATTATTGCATAACATAAAAGATACCTTAGCCCAGGAAAGCAACAGGCACTGCAAGTCAGTGTATCATACGTAGCAAACACAGATTCCTACTAACATTGGAACCACTGCACTTCACTCCCGTGCAGGGCACCAGACATTACTGGTGGCATTCAGCCTCAAATTGCTTCCTCGAGGCATCCCTAATCCTTGCAGCCCCACGCTGGGCCCCTTTAATAGCCCTGCTCTCTGGCTGTTCAAATTCAGCCTCCAGGTGTTGAACCTCCGAGTTCCATGCCTGAGTGAATCTTTCACCCTTCCCTTCACAAATGTTATGGAGGGTACAGCACTGTTCCGTGGTGGTGAGCATGTCCATGAATACCACAAGCAATCTCGTGTTGTATGCATTACTCACATCAATATCATTGTCGGAGTCCTCACTGTCACTTGGATCTTAAGGAGTAACTTGACTGCCAAACGTGATGTGCTGGCGAGACTCGTCAGCATATTCCTCAGCAGTTCGGGCTCCATTCCCACAGACCAAAAGGGAAGACAGAGCGTGCAGTACAAAAACCATTGAAAGATGGCGTCAATTGTGGATGGAAGCAGAGGGATTGCTGGGATGTGAACCAATGCATCACGGGGCATTGGGACAGGACACAGAATGCCCTGCACCCCCCGCCTCCTTCCCACAAGCCACAGCACCAGAATGGGAAGAGGTGCTCTGTGGGATAGCTGCCCACAATGCACTGCTCCCAATGCCACTGCAAGTGCCACAAAAGTGGACACGCCAGTGCGCTTGCAGCTGTCAGTGTGGACAGACTGCAGCACTTTCCCTACTGCACTCTACGAAGGCTGGTTTAACTCAAAGTGCTCTACATTTGCAAGTGTAGCCATGGCCTAAGGGCTTGGCTACACTTGCAAGTTAGAGTGCATTAAAGCAGCCCCAGGCGCCCTAACTCCCGACCCGTCCACACTGGCAAGGCACTTAGAGCGCCTGGACTCTGCAGCTGGAGCGCTCCTGGTAATCCACCTCCACGAGAAGTATAACGCTTGTTGTGCCTCCGCTGAAACACCCCAGCATCATTGTGAACGAGGTGTTGCTTTACTGCGCTGCGATCGGCCTCCCGAAACACCCCATAATCCCCTTAAGTCAAGTGGCCACTCTTGCCATTGTTTTGGAATCGGCTGTAGGAATGCGGATATGCCCTTTCAAAGCTCCGTTTCTGACAGCCAGCTGCTTATCTGTTCCGGGACAAAGCAACTGTTAGTGTGGAATGTTACTTGCTGTGAATGTGTGAGAGAGAGGTGGTGGGGAGGGGGGTCTGAACTAACAAGACAGCACACTGACGCACTCTCAGCACCCCAAAAACCCACTCTCTCTCCCCCCACATACACACAGCACACTCTCTGTCACACTCCACCCCCCCCCGCCCCCCGCATTTGAAAAGCATGTTGCAGCCACTTGAACGCTGGGATAGCTACCACAATGCACTGCTCTTTGTGGCGTTTCAAGAGATGTTAATGTGGCCACGCCAGTGCGCTTCCAGCTGAGAGTGTAAACACTCGGCAGCGTTTTCCCTGCTGCGGTTCCCGAAGGCTGGTTTGACTCTCAGCCCTCTACATCTGCAAGTGTAGCCATGCCCTAAGCTGACAGGAGAGCTCTCCAGTCGGCTTCACTACTCCAGCTCCATGAGTGGCAGTAGCTATGTTGGTAGGACAGCTTCTTCTGCCCACATAGCGCTGTCCATATTGGTGCTTAGGTCGGTGTAACTTACATTGCTCAGGGGGTGGCTTTTTCACATTTCTGAGTGACATAAGTTATACCACAGCAAGTGCTAGTGTAGACATAGCCTAAGCTAAACCATAGCTAGTTTCAGGTTTCTCAATTTGCTCCTGCCTTTTGTTCTGTTGTTTGACTAATTCAGACTGGTTTGCTATTTGAATAGCTGTGGCTAGAGTTAAATCTCTCCTCAGTTGTAGCTGCTGTGAAATTTTTTTATCTGTTAGCAACACAGAAATTTTTTTATCTGTTAGCACACAGAGGCTGATTATTGGGTTATTTTCAACCTTTGCATTCCCAAAATCACAGTTTTCTCCCAATATATGTGGAGCTCTTATAAAACATTCCAAACTTTCCCCTGGTTCTTGAGTTCTCTGGTGGAAAGAAGCTTTTTCATAAGCTACATTTCTCTGAGATATAATGTATGCATCAAACAGAGCCAGATCCCTTTCATAGTCACCTTTGTGACTGTCTTCAGTAAAGTCAAAGGATTTAAAGATATGCTCTGCCTCCTTCCCACAGCCTACATTAAAGACGATACCTGCATATCTCCAGTTTCCTTGCAACTTGGCAGCAATGTGAAATCTTGTTTCCAGTCTATCCATGGTGAAGTTTGTGAAAGCTAAAGTTCTCTAGGGCACTAAAGAGTGGCATGGTGTTGAGATCCTGCAACCTGTGTAGCTTTGTTCCTTCTGTTTATGTTCTTATGTTACTCCACACACTATGTCATGTTCTTCTGTACCAGACATGGACTGATCACAGAGCTTGCTTTTACATACCACGATCCTTTAATGCTCTGCCAGGAATGGCTGAGATCAGCTTAAAATAAGGTATTTTACACACATCACCATCTAGTGGCTGAACAGTATAATACACTTTTGCATTCCATTACAAGGTGTGTGGGGTTTCACTCCAGGGTCAGGGGATACTAGCCCCAGTAAGGCCTAGGGGGAGCAGCGTGTGTGGGACCTTCAGTGATGCAGGCAGTTTGAAAGCAGGTGGCTCGGTTTGGAAGGGCGGGTGCAGTGTCATTGGTTCTGATTTCAGAGTAACAGCCGTGTTAGTCTGTATTCGCAAAAAGAAAAGGAGTACCTGTGGCACCTTAGAGACTAACCAATTTATTTGAGCATGAGCTTTCGCTGTAGCTCATGAAAGCTCATGCTCAAATAAATTGGTTAGTCTCTAAGGTGCCACAAGTACTCCTTTTCTTTTTGGTTCTGATGTCGCTCACCACATCTTGTATTTTGTCTGCTACTTAGGGCTCCCCTGCACTGGAAACATTACAGCGTAGATGCTACCAACGCTGACAGAAGAGGTTCTCCCATCAGTGTAGGCAATCCACCTCCCTGAGAGTCAGTAGCTAGGGTCACTGAAATATAACATGCAGCTGAGACCTTTTCTCTCAGTGCATCAACAGATAGCACGGAAGAGCTTACTCGGGCCACTACTTATATCAGCCAGTGTTTGGAGATCCCTGAAATGTCCAATCATGGAGACAGAGACTTACCTCATCCCTTTGCTTTCTTTCAGCTTCCATGACAGGATTCCCCTTGGCAGGTAAATACGAACATAGGCAGAGGGTGCGGGGTGTATGTGGGGTGCATGCTGCAAGGTGCAGCTCTTTGTGCAGCTGGCTTATAAATCGGGGTGGGGAAGGGCAGAGTTAAGATGATTTAATCTAGTGGTTCAAATGTAGAACTGGAGACCTGGGTTCAAATCCTGCCTCTGCCAGACTCACCCTGTGGACTCAGCCTATCACTGCCTCGCTACGTGCCTCAGTTTCCCCACCAGTGCATTGTTAACAAGGTGGACTGTGTGGCAGAGTGAAGGGCATCCTGGCTATTGGGTCCCTGTGGAAATACTCAGGCCACCCAGCATCTCGAGAACTCAGCCTTGCCTAGCAAGTCCGAGTTACATTTGGGCTGTGGCAGCGCCTGGCTGAGCCGCTTAAGTCTGGGGTGGCCCAGATTTCCCCTGGAATAGGATCTGCCCCAAGAGATATTTTTGCCTTTAGTTATTGTTAGAGCCATTTTAGCTCAGCTCTGGCTGTAGCTGGTGCATGGCCCCAATCCCTGCACTGGGGGAGTGGAGGTGCCGTGAGTGACACCAGCTGGGGCCTGCAGGAGGCGGCGGTGGTGTGCCAGGAGCTGGGCTGCTGTGGCACCCTCAGCACCAGGACAGTGCTCAGTTCAGCATGGGGCTGGCCCTGTCTATGTGGATACTGTGGAATATAGAGGAGCTGAGTCAACCCCAGTGGAGGCTTTCGGGGAGCAGAACTACAGCCCCGTGAGGCTGCTGCTATTGGCTCTGGTAGACGGGGGCGTCGGGGCGCAGACGGGGAGGGGGCTCGGGCAGGGGCAAAGGGCAGTTCAGTCTCCTGACCAGTTACGCCCTTTGCCCCTCGGCTGGGAGTCGCTTGGACTGAGGGCTGGGCTGGGCTGCACACACCTGTCCTGTCATGGAGGGGAATTAACCCCAGCAGCTCATTTCACATTTTGGGCATCAGAGAGCTGCAATGGCTGCAACTTCCACTCACTACCAGCTTGGACCCAGGGCCCCAAGACGTGAAAGTGCAGTGCCTGTTCCCCCCAAGCCAGCCACAGCCCCTGCCTGAGCTGGGGCCAAACGGGAACCGGTGCCCTCCAGGGGAAAAGCTTCAGGTCTCCTTCCCCCAATGTACTGTGTCACCTCATCCTCCTCGCACAGACTGTACTGGAGCCAGAGTCCCCTGGGGGAAAGACCCTGTGTCCCATCCTCCATCCCACGAGTCAGCCATTCCACCGTGCCTGGGGCTGGATCAGAGCTGGTGACCTCCAGAGAGGAACCCCCCAGTGTCCCATTCTCAGCCCCCCGGAGCAAGCCAGTCTGCCACACTGAGACTGAATGGGAGCCAGAGCAAACGATAGGGAACAAGCCCCATATTCCTTTCCTTTAGCCCATCCCTGAGTGTTTATCCCCTTGGGGTGTTTGCAGACTCTGGCATTTCAGAAGTGGCTCAGCTCCGACTGGTGAACGGCCCGAGTCGCTGTGCTGGGAGAGTCGAGGTGCTTCACGACGAGCAGTGGGGAACCGTGTGTGATGACGGCTGGGATTTAACTGAGGCCAGAGTCGTGTGCAGGCAGCTGGGCTGTGGGATGGCATTATCAGCCCCATGCGTGTCTCGGTTTGGACAGGGAACTGACCGTATCTGGCTGGATGAGGTTAACTGCACAGGGACAGAAGCTGCCCTCTCCGAATGCAAGGCTCGGCCTTGGGGAGAGCATAACTGTAACCACGTGGAAGATGCCAGTGTTGTGTGCTCAGGTAAGCCTCATCTCTTCTGTCACGGTGGGTGCTGCAGGGAGTGGATTAGGAAGCTTTCAGCCCAGCCCCTGGTTCCCCATCTGAGTTCCCGTGCCCCAGCGCAGCGCTATGGGCCTGTACTGAAGGGAGCAGGCTGGGAACACAGGAGGGGGTGCTCTCCCCTAGTAGTCTGGGATGACCCCAGTCCTCCCGCTGGCTAACAAAAGGTCTGTGCTGCAGGGTATGGGGCTCTCGCCTCACAGTCAGCGACGCTCACAGTTCCCCAGAGCGGCGCTAGGGGGCATGAGCTGCAGAGGGTGGAGTGTGGGGCACAGTGAGAGGCCCTCTCCCTGCTCTGATCGCTCTGATCCCCCGCCCTCCCTGGCACAATGGGGCGCTGGGTAAGCATGGATCCCAGCTGTGGGACTTGGTGTCAAACAGAGCTTGCAGTCGCTCCTGGGGATAGAAACCCAGGGTCACTTTGACAAGAATTGGGCTCCTAACTCAGCCATGCTGGACAATTTGCACCACAAACAATTAGCCCTGAACCTGTAACGTGCCCCGCAGCTCTGACTGGACAAACATTTCCCCCAACTTCCTGTCTGCACAGTCACCATATTTCTGTGCCCTGACTCTCAGCTGCCCTGTGCCACCCCGAAGTGGCAGCATGTCAGCAGTGGGGACTGAGCCCTTGGCATGGAGTGGCTGTGTGAGGAGGCCAGTCACACCCATCCGTGGTAGGCGATACAGTCATCAGCATCACTTGTGATCAGATGCACAGGAATCTCCTTGAGTATTTATTGCATTTGCAGACTCGGTCATTCCAGACCCAGGTCCTCTCCAACTGGTGAATGGCCCCAATCGCTGCGCTGGGAGAGTCGAGGTGCTTCACAACCATCAGTGGGGAACCGTGTGTGATGACGGCTGGGACTTAACTGATGCTGGAGTCGTGTGCAGGCAGCTGGGCTGTGGGAAAGCGTTATCAGCCCCAGGGCGGGCTCACTTTGAGAGAGGATATGACCGTATCTGGCTGGGTGAGGTTAACTGCACAGGGACAGAAGCTGCCCTCACCGAATGCAGGGCTAGCTCTTGGGGAAAGAGTAACTGTCACCACGGAGAAGATGCCAGTGTTGTGTGCTCAGGTAACCCTCCTCTGTCACGTCACTGGGGGTGCTGCCTGGAACAGGCTGGGAAGCTTTCAGCACAGTCCCTGCTTTCCTGTCTGAGCCAGTGCTGACCCCAGTGTCTCAGCAAGGTGCTGGGGGCTGTGCTGCAGGGAGGTGTGTATGTGTCCCTCTGAGAAACCTTCCCCCGTCTCTGCTTGCTCCAGTTCCATTCCAAGCTATGGCACAATCTGGCACTCCGTCGCCATTGTTCCTTCCAGTCAGATTCAGTGTCAGCTGGAGCCTATAGCTGTTCACTGGGACTGGGAACCCTGCATCACTTTGCTGAGCATCATGCTCCTGACTCCATTGTCCCGGGAAATTGGCAACTTAACTAATGTTATCCTTGGGCAGACGGGATTGGACACTGTCAGGTCCAGTAACAAGGTGGTGTTGCCTAGTGGCCAGAGCCAGGATGGCATCAGGATCACGGCTGGACGTTACACAAAAGGTGAAAGCCAGAAACAGAGTCCGAAGCCTTGCCCAAGGTCAAGCTGCAGTCAGAATTGGTCCCTGGAGTTAGGGTGAGGAAGCAGGAAAAAGGGGCAGTAATGGGAGCAAGGAGCAGGCACAGGGCCAGGCAACAGGAGCCAGGAACAAGGTGTGGTAACAGGAACAAGGAGGAGGAACTGTCCTGGGCCAAGCATCAGGAGCCAGGAACAAGGGGTGGTAATGGGAACAAGGAGGAAGAACTGGCCCGGGCCAGGCAGCAGGAGCCAGGAACAAGGGGTGGTAATGGGAACAAGGAGGAGGAACTGGCCCGGGCCAGGCAGCTGGAGCCAGGAACTAGGGGTGGTAACGGGAGCAAGGAGGAGGAACTGGCCGGGCCAGGCAGCTGGAGCCAGGAACTAGGGGTGGTAACGGGAGCAAGGAGGAGGAACTGGCCGGGCCAGGCAGCTGGAGCCAGGAACTAGGGGTGGTAACGGGAGCAAGGAGCAGGAATCGTGTGAGGTGGCAGGAATCTGGTCCCTGGGGTCTGGCCAGCAGCAGCCTTAGCAAGGAGTTGCTCAGACAAAGGGTAGGATGGGAACAGGGAGCTTTACAGCTGGAGGTGTCCAATCAGCAGTCTGCTTCTCGTCACCTGCTCGTGGTGGGTGGGCCTCTGCTGGTGGCCCATTAGCTACAATTCCCTCATCTCCCGGTGATGTGAGAGGTAAGGCTGCAGTTCAGCAAGCTCGTGGATCTGGGCTTGAGCCCTGTAGTGCATGGGAGGTGCCTAATTCTTTCCCATTTCCTGCATAAACAGCTCAGCCAACTTTGCCGAGCTTGTCTCTCAGCTGCCCTGATTCACCCCAGAAGTGGGAGCATGTCAGTGGTGGGGAGTGAGCCCGTGATGGGTATTCGCTGTGTGGACCCGTACGTGGGAAGCACTACATTCTCCAGTGTCACTAGTGATCCGATGCACAGGAAACTCCCTGAGTGTTTATCCCCTTGGGGTGTTTGCAGACTCTGGCATTTCAGAAGTGGCTCAGCTCCGACTGGTGAATGGCCCGAGTCGCTGTGCTGGGAGAGTCGAGGTGCTTCACGACGAGCAGTGGGGAACCGTGTGTGATGACGGCTGGGATTTAACTGAGGCCAGAGTCGTGTGCAGGCAGCTGGGCTGTGGGATGGCGTTATCAGCCCCACGCGGGTCTCGGTTTGGACAGGGAACTGACCGTATCTGGCTGGATGAGGTTAACTGCACAGGGACAGAAGCTGCCCTCTCCGAATGCAAGGCTCGGCCTTGGGGAGAGCATAACTGTAACCATGTGGAAGATGCCAGTGTTGTGTGCTCAGGTAAGCCTCATCTCTTCTGTCACGGTGGGTGCTGCAGGGAGTGGATTAGGAAGCTTTCAGCCCAGCCCCTGGTTCCCCATCTGAGTTCCCGTGCCCCAGCGCAGCGCTATGGGCCTGTACTGAAGGGAGCAGACTGGGAACACAGGAGGGGGTGCTCTCCCCTAGCAGTCTGGGCTGACCCCAGTCCTCCCGCTGGCTGACAAAAGGTCTGTGCTGCAGGGTATGGGGCTCTCGCCTCACAGTCAGCGACGCTCACAGTTCCCCAGAGCGGCGCTAGGGGGCATGAGCTGCAGAGGGTGGAGTGTGGGGCACAGTGAGAGGCCCTCTCCCCACTCTGATCGCTCTGATCCCCCGCCCTCCCTGGCACAATGGGGGGTGCTGGGTAAGCATGGATCCCAGCTGTGGGACTTGGTGTCAAACAGAGCTTGCAGTCGCTCCTGGGGACTAGAAACCCAGGGTCACTTTGACAAGAGTTGGGCTCCTAACTCAGCCATGCTGGACAATTTGCACCACAAACAATTAGCCCTGAAACTGTAACGTCCCCCGCAGCTCTGACTGGACAAACATTTCCCCCAACTTCCTGTCTGCACAGTCACCATATTTCTGTGCCCTGACTCTCAGCTGCCCTGTGCCACCCCGAAGTGGCAGCATGTCAGCAGTGGGGACTGAGCCCTTGGCATGGAGTGGCTGTGTGAGGAGGCCAGTCACACCCATCCGTGGTAGGTGATACAGTCATCAGCATCACTTGTGATCGGATGCACAGGTTTCAGAGTTATTTCAGCATGAGCTTTCGTGAGCTACAGCTCACTTCATCGGATGCATACCGTGGAAACTGCAGCAGACTTTATATACACACAGAGAATATGAAACAATACCTCCTCCCAGCCCACTGTCCTGCTGGTAATAGCTTATCTAAAGTGATCATCAGGTTGGGCCATTTCCAGCACAAATCCAGGTTTTCTCACCCTCCACCCCCCCACACAAATTCACTCTCCTGCTGGTGATAGCCCATCCAAAGTGACAACTCTTTACACAATGACAGGTTTCAGAGGAACAGCCGTGTTAGTCTGTATTCGCAAAAAGAAAAGGAGTACTTGTGGCACCTTAGAGACTAACCAATTTATTTGAGCATGAGCTTTCGTGAGCTACAGCTCACTTCATCAGATGTGAACATCTGATGAAGTGAGCTGTAGCTCACGAAAGCTCATGCTCAAATAAATTGGTTAGTCTCTAAGGTGCCACAAGTACTCCTTTTCTCTTTACACAATGTGCATGATAATCAAGTTGGGCCATTTCCTGCACAAATCCAGGTTCTCTCACCCCCTCACCCCCCTCCCAAAAACCACACACACAAACTCACTCTCCTGCTGGTAATAGCTCATCCAAACTGACCACTCTCCAAGTTTAAATCCAAGTTAAACCAGAACATCTGGGGGGGGGGGGGGGGGATAGGAAAAAACAAGGGGAAATAGGCTACCTTGCATAATGACTTAGCCACTCCCAGTCTCTATTTAAGCTTAAATTAATAGTATCCAATTTGCAAATGAATTCCAATTCAGCAGTTTCTCGCTGGAGTCTGGATTTGAAGTTTTTTTGTTTTAAGATAGCGACCTTCATGTCTGTGATTGCGTGACCAGAGAGATTGAAGTGTTCTCCGACTGGTTTATGAATGTTATAATTCTTGACATCTGATTTGTGTCCATTTATTCTTTTACGTAGAGACTGTCCAGTTTGACCAATGTAAATGGCAGAGGGGCATTGCTGGCACATGATGGCATATATCACATTGGTGGATGTGCAGGTGAACGAGCCTCTGATAGTGTGGCTGATGTTATTAGGCCCTGTGATGGTGTCCCCTGAATAGATATGTGGGCACAATTGGCAACGGGCTTTGTGGCAAGGATAAGTTCCTGGGTTAGTGGTTCTGTTGTGTGGTATGTGGTTGTTGGTGAGTATTTGCTTCAGGTTGGGGGGCTGTCTGTAGGCAAGGACTGGCCTGTCTCCCAAGATTTGTGAGAGTGTTGGGTCATCCTTTAGGATAGGTTGTAGATCCTTAATAATGCGTTGGAGGGGTTTTAGTTG